AACAGGTTGGTGAATGACATGGATCCACTTACACCTGCAGGATCCACGACTCCATCTCTTCATTTAGTCCTAGACCACCTGCATCCACTGCTGGAGTTTTTCTAAACCGTGAGAACAGAGTGGCTCCTATCATCCTTAACACATGACTTCCATTTGGGTACCCCAAGAAGTGTCTGTGCCTCCTTCTCCGTATCAACCTCCCAAAGTCAATTCCTGTCAACTTAGGGAAGCAACATTCCACCATGCAGGCTGACTTTCCTTTATCCAAAATGCCTGTACCAATTCAGATGTTGCTGTATTTATGCATATACAAGAAGATATCTCGAGGATGAAACCTGTGCTGGTTAGCTTTTGTCTACTTTACATAAACTAGAACAACTTGGGAAGAAGGAATGGGCTATGGTCATGTCTGTGAGGCATTTTCGTGTTTGCTAATTTATGTAGGAGGGCCGAAGCTGATGTGGGCCCAGGGCATGTGATCCTGGGCTGTATAAGACAGCAGCCGAGCAAGCTAGAAGGCACAAGCCAGTAAACAGCATTCCTCTGTGGCCTCTGCTTCTCCTCTGTGGTCTTTCCTTCAGCTCCTGCCTCCGGCTTCCTGCTTCAGCTCCTGCCCTGGCTTCCCTCAATGGTAGACTATGATGAGGACGTGTAAGCCAAATAAACCCTTTCCTCCTCTAGTTGCTTTTGTTCAGTGTTTTATCACTGCAATAGAAAGCAAACTAGGACAGGATCCAAGTCTAAACACAAAATTCATTTGTTTCACATGCACTTTAACACAGCCTGAACGTAATTCTAAACATTTCTGGTGACAGTGTATTTGAACAGCACTCAGTCATACGAGCTTAAGGGTAGAAAGTTCCAGATTTAGGGGTGAGGATGCAGTTCATTTGGTACAATACTTGCCTAGCATGCTTAAAGCCCTGGATTTGATCTCCAGAATACCATAAAATTGGGTGTGGTACAGGCCAGTGAGATGGCTCAGTGGAGAAAAGCACATGCCACAAAGCCTGAGGACCTCAATTCAATCCCAGGAATCCACAAGGTAGAAGGAAAGAACTGACTCCACAAGTCGTCCTCTGACTTCCACATGCATACTGTGGCATGCACATGCCCACACACACAAACACACACACAAAAACTAATTTTAAAAGGAAAAAAGCAGGTGTAGTAAAATGTACCTAGAATCCCAGCACTTGGGAGGTGAAAGCATGAGGATTTGGAGTTCAAGGTCATCCTCAGGTATGTAGTTAATTCTAGGCTAGCCTATATGAGACCCTGTCTCTCCCCCCAAAAAGGAAAGGTTTCATCTTTCAGAGCAGTCCATGTTTCAGGTGAGGTACACTCAACTTGTATTACAAACACCACCCAGGGGTTTGAATGAACTGATCTACCAACAATTCCTTATTGGAAAATAATCTGTTCTGGGCCTGGTGATGTATGTCTGTAATCCTAGCTCCATGAAAGGCTCAGGTGGGAATACAGCAAGTTCAAGGTCTGCCAGGGCAACAAAGTGAGTTCAGGGCCAGTGAGAATAAGTCAGTAAGATCCTGTCTCAAAATGAAAAATAAAATTTAAGAGGGCTAAAGCCGGGCATGGTGGTGCATGCCTTTAATCCCAGCAGAAGTAGGAGGATCTCTATGAGAGATTAAGGCCAGCCTGGTCTATATAGTGAGTTCAAGAACATCTGGGGCTACAAGGAGAACCAGTCTCTAAAAAAACCAAAAAGGGGGGAGGGGTACTGGGAATGTGAATGTGGCACAGTGGTAGAGTGCTTGCTTAGTGTGAACGAGGTCCTGGGTTGCATTTTAGGATTTGCTGGGAGGAAAATAAAATATGAAACTAGGAATGAGCTTTGTTGAAACATGAACGAGGGGCCCCCGTGCACTTCTGAAGTAGTTAGAGGCAACTCTATTTGCTAATACTGCTCTTATCTCAGCCTTTAGCCCCCAAATGAAGGGACACAAATGAACTCAAAGCTCAGGGAGCCCAACATTTTCAGGGGCGAGGGGGAGGTGAATGAGTACTACAAAGAAACTGTGTGCTCTCCCTTCACCGCCCCCCCCACATACAGACACACAAACAGAATCACAGACACACAGAGAAAAATACACATACTATAACATTCACTATCTCTCCTATATATATTCTGTCTCCTCTCCCTCCCCTCTTTCCTTCCCTCCGTTCAGTCTCTCCCTCTCCCCCCATACACAATATTCATTCTGCTTCTCTCATACACACACAGAAACAACATACTCTAACATTCTGTCTCCAACTCTCTCATATATGCACACATTCTTTTTCATCCCCACCTCCACGTTCTCTCCCTTTCCTCCCTTCACTTTAACCATAGGCACAACTGCACCCATTATTCTTATTTCTGATATAGGAATCCATACTAGAAGCAAAATTAAGTCAGGAAATACTAGAACACACACATCACTGCATAGTTAAACATCTGCTCTCCATCCTCCCAGGCAAAAAGCAGCAAACTAAAATCTAAGACATCTCACACTTCCAACAGTATCGGGAACTATACTGCAAAATTCTCCTTTGGAAGTTATTTTATCTTATCTGTACAAACACATAAGGAAATACATAGAGCACAATGTGTTCAACAATTGCAGGCTTACAGAACAATTCAAACCCTGGCCAGCTTGGTACTGTTTTACAGCACGGCATACTTCTAAGACAGCTAAAGAGGAATGCTCTCCTCTGCGTACAAACAGCTCTTGAGCAGTGCAGAACCAACCAAAGGCAAAAAGCATGTCCCAAGAGAATACAGAGTTTCTTCTGGATAATGCCTCTCTAAAAAGCACACCTCTACAATCAAATCTCAGAATCCCATCTCCAAACCATGTAGGTATTCCAGAGAGGGCAAATAATCTCCTTCCACAGCAACAAGGGGCACCGACGACTCTCCCAATACTTGCCACCCAAGGGAGATTTCATCTGAGAAATTTGCGCAAATATCCAGACATGCCAGTTTCAGATTCATGGGGGGGAGGAGCGGACCACACATTCAATTAGGCCATAAAGTATAATGTTTCCAGTACTGAAAGCAAAGCAGGGTCACCTCTGACCTCAAGTACAAGAGGTAAGATTTACAAGGGAGACCAAAGTAGCTGTAACTCGAGACTGCAGTTTACGGGGAGCAAAAGCAACACACTGTCCCCACTCCTCATCCAAACTCTCCTTCTGGAATAGTTCAATAGTCTTCTAGGGCCAACTCACTTTCCCTGCTACTCTTCTCCAAGCAGTCACAGCACATGTTGGGTAGACACTGGGGTAGCAGGCCTTCCAGGGGCACTGCCTAACACTCCCAGGAGTTAACCTGAGGCATCCTGAGGCATCCCAGACTCACGGAGAGGCATGACTCCAAGCAATATCCTCCCAGTCTGTTCCTCCACTCCAACCTCAGGACATCTGAACAAGTCGTGCCCTGGCCAGGTATTCACGCTGACATAACTCCATACATTCCTGGGGTCCTATCTTAAATGCCCTTTCTGGTTGACAATGAAGACATCTAGTCCATGCCAACAGACCCTCACAGCTGCCTGCATTTGACAGCAGTCATCACTACTATTCCAACCCTATGCTTTGTATGAGTTCATGTCTGTTTCTCCTTCCCTCTCCTGCATGGGAGAGCAACACACACACATCAATGAAAATAAATGAGCTCAGCAGACAGCGCTAATCAAACACCTGTTGAATGAATGAGCAATGAGGGAGATGGAGGTGGGGCAAGCCCTGATCAGTGGTAGGATTCGAGTTACACATAATAGTAAAGGAAGAAAAGCTCCAAGGGTATTCTGGAAGTCAATCACGTGACTTGGCTGGGATGTACCTGGGTGTTACTTTACTTTCACTAACCCATCAACAAATTCCATTGTAAACTAATTCCACTGTTAACTCTCCAGCATCATAAACAGATTATCACAGGCATTCTGCTAACATCTTAGAGATGGTATGGGGAGGAAGGGGGTTTGCTCACACTCATCACTACTTTGAAGTGGTAGTGGCTAATGTGACCTGTCAGATCATGTTATCTTAAGTATGTAAGAAGCACACGGTGAAGCTGCACACACTGAGACTGGAAGGAATGCTCAGAGATTAAAAGCTCTTGCTGCTCCTCCAAAGGACCTAAGTTCAGTTCCCAGCACCCACATCAGGTAGCTCACAGCTTCGTCTAGCTCCAGGGGGATCCGACATCCTCTTCTGGCCTCCTCAGGCACCGGCACACACAGACACATACACATAGAAAATAAATACATAAAAATAAAAATTTTTTAAAAGCAGACACTGAGGTTGGGGAGATGGCTCAGTGGGTAATGCACCTGACATGCACGCATGAGAACTTGAGTTCAAATCCCCAGAGCCTGCCTAAAAAAATGGGTATGTGCCACGCCTGTCTGTAATCCCAGTGCCCCTACAGGGACATGGGGAGGCAGAGACCAGAAAATCCTTGGAAGCTCTTGGAAGTCAGCCTGGTAATATACAGCAGAGAAGACGCCCTGCCTCAAACAAAGTGGACTCAAGGCTATCCTCCAACTGCAACAAGTGTGCCAGGGCACACCTATGGGGGAGGGCGGGTTATAAAATAAAACAATAAAGTAAAAGAAAAAGCACATGATTAAGAATGGAAAGCAGGATCCTGTATGTAGTCAGGTTCCTAGCAGCTTATGCACAGAAGCCAAAGGCTGGAAACAAACCAAGTGTCCATCAACAGATGGCTAGATTTACACTATGTAGTATATACACACAATGGAAAACAATTCAACTTCAAAAAGGAGAGAAATGGACGCATGCCACAATGTGGATGGAGTTTGAGATTATGCTCAGGGAAGTAAAAGCAAGTATAAGCTAACTCCTTCCCTTCTTCCCTCCCTCCCACCCACACTCCTCCTCTCTCAGACACATACACAAATACTGTATGACTCCATCTACATGAGGTCCCTAGAAGAACCAAATCCACAGAACGAAAATAGGGTGGTAGTTACCAGGTGCTGGAGGAGCAGCTCCAGTTAGTAGGTTAGCAGGGACAGGTTTCAGATCTGCAAGATAAAAGGAGTTCAGGAGTTAATAGAGCACATGAACAAATGTCTTTACGAGGAGAAAGAAATGTTTTGTTTTGTTTTGTTTTTCTTTTGAAGGGTTTTTTGTTTTGTTTTGGTTTTTTTGAGAAAGGGTCTCCTTGGAGCCCCGCCTGGCCTGGAACTTGTTTCGTAGACCAGGTTGGCCGGCCTCTGCTTTAAAGGTGTGTGCCACCATGCCTGGCTCAGTTTTGTTTCTTAATGTTGCTAGTTTAGATGCATTAAGAAATGTGATACTGAGACCAACAGAGCTTTGCTGAGCTACTGAAGGGAGTCTGTGCACAAAACAAAAAGGCTCCTTGGTATCAGAGAAGGGGTGCCCTAACAGCATGTACAGTCTTGCCCATAAGGCATTGGGCACACATGGCTGTGCTGTAGGGACTTGCTGAAGTTCTTGTCCCCAAGGCAGTAACAGCCCCAAGGGACAGACTAGAGGCTGCTCAGTGTGGGGACAGAGCACAGGGCACAGACCCAGCCTATGGTCCACACAGCTGAATAGGGCAGGGGTGAGGAGCTGGAGAGACTGAGGGTGTCAGGACTGCAAGTTCAAAGGAAACCAAGGAAGAGAGTTTCCTCCAAGAGAGAGTGGGTGCCAGAGCTCACTTGACTAAAATGTGTGAGCGTTTACACGAGAGAACAAGAATGGAAACTTTCTTTGAAAAAGTGTACTAAGTAGGAGGAAGATGGAATAAGGTACCAAGTCAAGAAAAGGGTTTTGTTTAAATAATGCATGTTTTCTGTGTTTAGTACTGGAAGGGGAGGGTGTTTTTCTTTATGAGATAGGTCTTGCTAAGATGTAACCCAGGATGGCTTCAAATTCACAATCCAGATGCTAAGATGATTACAGGCATGCACCACCACACCCAGCTTGTTCAGTGCTTTTAAATGATGATTACTTTGTGTTTCAGTCTGGTGTGATGACTACAAAGATAAAAGGGAAAGAGATGTTCCTCCCTTAGAAGAAAACCTAGTTTTTACCCTAAAACGTAAATTTGTGCTGAACTCAGAAAAATTCAATCTGTGCTTTTTAAAAACAAGTTTAGAAAACATTGCTCATGGGGATACCTGCACTGGATAGCTCGGCAGGTAAACGCATTTGCTGCAAAAGCCTGACAACCTGAGTTTGGAGTCATCGAACCCATGTAAAAAGAGCCAGAGGTGGTGGTGCATACCTGTAATCCAGACACTTCTAGGGCTGGGTGGGAGGCGGAGACAGAATCCCTCAGAAGCTTCCAGCAAATGGGAGACCGTGCTTCAAACAAGGGATAGCAAGGATACCATCCAAGGTTGTCCTCTGACCCCCACACACACAATGCCATGGCAGGAGTGCACCCTCACATGTGAATACATACACAAAAACAAACACATATTTAAAGGAAAGAGAAAACCTTGCTCATGCATAGAAATTCTGCATTCCTCAAAGTCCTCTGTCAACAATAGCATTGATCAATGGTTACGAAGGGTCAAGTATTCAAAGGTAAGAATGTGAGAGAGTGAATCAGTGAATCACTGGAGGTGAGAGGAGGGAAAAAAAATCAAGATGCCCGTTCCCAACTTCCACTTACCACCACTCTGAACCAGAGCAGCCCTGTTTCATCAATGAAAAGAACTGTCCCATCCATTGCTCCACAGGACATAGCCTGACTCAAAGCAGTATCAAGTGGAAAAACAATGTACAGCCACAACTGGATATAAGAAACACACTAATTTTTGGATGAGAGAACCAGGAGCACTCGGCCCTTTGCTCCTAAATCCAGTCCTCTATCCTGGCTTTAAATAGCACAGTTCATCTCCCGTGACCACCCTCACCCAAGCCACATTTTTGGGAGCTTCTGGCCCAAAACCACCCAGTTCAAACCATCTATACACATCCATCGTACCCTCCCTGGCTCAGCCCGAACCATCCCTATGACTACTTGTTCAGTCCAACACACCAGCCACCAATCACAGAAGCTGCAACAGTATGAACTCACATTAAATCTCCATTCCAGGCTGCGGCCACCTTGCTCCACCTGCTCGGTAGCCACACACTGCCAGCGGGTGGACCAGACTGGACGGTACAGTGCTCACACACTGGTTTACGCTCTCTTGGGTCTTAAATGGCTTCCTTCTACTGGGTAGATCCAAGCTAACAAGCTCAAAGGAGCTCCCAAACAGAGGCCTTATCTAAACTAGATTAAACGGAGGCCACTTGAGTCTCATATGTCAACACTTGTCATCTCTCAAAAGCAAAATCCTCCGTCTATTCCTCTACCAAGGCTACACCCTGATAAGCTTTCCTGTAGGAAGGAACATGTCCCCTTTCCAAGGTCCCATCCTTTTACCTTATCTCCTGTCCCACTTTGCTCTCTGCTGCTGTGAGAAAACACTGACAAAAACCAACTTGGGAAAGAAAGGGTTGATACAGCTTACATGTCCCAGGTCCCAATCTATCACTCGAGGGAAGCTGGGGCAGAAATTCAAGCGGGCCAGGAACCTGGAGGCAGGAACCTGGAGGCAGGAGCTGAAGCAGAAGCCATGGAGAATGCTGTTCACTGGCTCAATTCCCCTGGCTTATGCTTAGCTACCTTTCTTTTACAACCCATGCCCACCTGCCCAGTAGTGGCACTACCCACAGTGGACTAGGCCCTCCTACATAAATTAGTAATCAATATGCCTCATAGACCTTGCCACAAGCCTCCTTCCTTGATGAAAGAAATTCCTCAGTTGAGGTTTTCTCCTAACAAGTGGTTCTGGTGAGTTTGTGTCAAGTTGACAAAAAACAACCAGCACATCTGAGCATCTCAACTCAACCATATGTCTACCCAATTTAGAAACATGATCCAGGATCTCAGAGATGGCTGTCAGTAAAATGCCTGTTGTGTAAACATGAAGTCCTGAGGTCTATCCCCAAAACTCACGTCTTAAAAACCTGATAGAGTGGCATGCTCTTGTAAAAAGCCAAGTATTGTAGTCCAGATCATAATCCCAGCACTGGGGAGGCAGAGAAAGAAGAATCCCTGGAACTCACTGGCCAGACAACACAACCTGAATGGTAAGCTCTTGGCCAGTGAGAAACTATGTCTCTGAAAGAGTAATAATAATACTAATAATAATAATAATAACAATAGTAATAATAATAATACAGTGCCAGAGGAACAGCACCTAAAGATAAGACGTCTTCTGCCTCCACAGAGCAAAAAATAAGGAGGGTGGCACCCTAAGAATGACACCCAAGGTTGTTCCCTAGCCTACATCCATGTGCATGCACCTGCATCCACACACACAAACATCTGTGTATGCACACCAAAAATAGTAAAATGGAAAGAAACATCCTTCAGCTACACACCAACATCTTTGGCACGGGTTCTCTTTCCCTCCTTACCCTCAAGGTCAGGCCAGTCTCCAAGGAGGTGTACACCTACCACCTGCCCACTCATCCTCTATCCCACACCTTCCACCTTCAGCCTGCTATAAACCCAACACTCCATTTAAAAGTGTCATGGGTTCTCAAAAGCAGTCCCTGGCTCCTGCCTGCCAGTCCCCACTTTTGCAGACAGTAGCTCTGGACTCTGCCCTCTCCTCTCTCTGGTCACTCTTCAGGACTGCTGAAGCCCACTTGCCTTTCTGAGCTTCTCCCAGCTTTACCTCTCACCCCAAGCCATCTCCTAGGCTCTAGTGAGAAAGACATTTCAAATCCCTAACTCCAGAGCTCCCTGACACATCTTAGGCCCCTAAGACTCATGAAGTTGCCACTCCTTGGCTCACCAAGACTACAGCCTCATGTGGGTAAAGGTGGGTTCTACTGACTCTGAAGCAAGAGGCTGTCAGCATTTAAAAAACTATTTGATGCCATCCAACATTTCTGTGGTGTGAGTATGCCATGTCTTCTTGAGGTCTCATGCACTCATGTCCAGTTTCTGGCTGCATTCAAGGAAGGTATGGGGCTAGGCCTATTTAGGGAAGTCAGTAATGGAAACCAGAGGCAGACCAGGTAGTTGTTGAGTGAAGGCAGACTGGACTGCAGGTATGGACCGCACCCCGCAGCCCCAGATGCTAGAGACTCATGGAAAAGCACCAACTTCCTGTAAGCTCTGCTCTGCTCTAATCAAGAACTATCCCAGGGCGTGCGGAGATAGCTCAGTGGATAAGAACACTTGCCAACAAGCCTGACGACAGGATTTCCACTCCTGGACCCACATAGTGGAAAGAAAGAACCAACTCCTGCAAGTTACCCTCTAACCTTCACATGCAAGTGAACCTGAGGGAGGGAAGGAGGGAGGGGAGGGGAGGGGAGGGAGGGAAGGGGGAGGGAGAGAGGACTATCCAAGGCCAAGGAGATCAAAGGCTCATGCACCCATATCCCAACCAACATATTTTCAGATCTTGTCAGAGTTGAACAGGAGAATCGAAGAGATTTCAAGTAGGGTAACATGAAAATGGCTGCTGCCATTGCTACCCTCTGTGTTCCACCTAACCTCCTCTCTTCCCACCCCTTTTTCCCTGTTCAGCCCAACAAAAGTGGTGTGTATGTCTGTCTATCAAAATACTTAGAGAAATCAAGAAAAACAAAGTCTTTGGGTGGTGGAGGCAGGAGGATCATGATTTCAAGGCCATCCTTGGCTACACAGTGAGTTATGGGCCGGTCTGGATTACATGAAACCCTTTCTCAAAAAAAAAGCTTGCAAAGGAAGTCAGTCATTTACAAAGATCACAACTAATAGATGATAGATGAAAATGCTCTGCCTTCCCACTACGTGAATCAAAAGATGAGTTTAGAAAAGACCTTGAAATGAGGGCAACCAACAAGTACGCTACACAGCCCATCGCTTCATGTTTTCCTCAGAAACAACTTTCTTCTGCCAAAGAAAAACATGATCAATTTCCATGTTATAAAATCAGGTCTGGCCAGTGAGATGGCCCAGCAGGTAAGAAAGAATACTTGCTGCCAAAACTTGATAAGCTGAGTTTGATCCCACAAA